GCTACTTGGGAGGTTGAGGCAGGAGACTTGCTTGAGCCCAGGAGTTGGAGATTGCTATGAGCTGTGATGCCAGGGCACTCTACCCAGGGGGACAGCTTGAGGCTCTGTCTCAAAAAAAAAAAAAAGAAAGAAAGAAAATGAAGACACAAATTATCAAAACCTGTGGGATACTGCAAAGGCAGTCCTAAGAGGGAAATTTATAGCATTGGAAGTCTTCATCAAGAAAACAGAAATGGAGGAGGCCAACAACTTAATGGATCATCTCAGGCAACTGGAAAAGGAAGAACTTTCCAACTTCAAACCCAGCAGAAGAAAAGAAATAACCAGAATTAGAGTAGAATTAAATGAAATTGAAAACAAAAGGATCATTCAGAAGTTCAACGAAGTAAAAAGTTGCTTTTTTGAAAAAATTAACAAAATTGATAAACCTTTGGTCAACCTAACCAGAAATAGAAAAATGAAATCTCTAACATCATCTATCAGAAACCATAAAGGAGAAATAACAACAGACACTTCAGAAATTCAAAATAAAAATCCTCAATGATTACTACAAAAATCTCTATTCCCAGAAATATGAAAATGTGAAGGAAATGGACCAATACCTGGAAGCATGCCACCTTCCTAGACTCAACCAGAAAGAATTAGAAATCTTACATAGACCTATATCAACCACTGAAATAGCATCATCAATACAAAATCTCCCTAAAAATAAAAGTCCAGGACCAGATGGCTTCACATCCGAATGCTATCAAACATTTCAAGAGGAACTCGTACTTATATTATACAACATTTTCCAAAGCATAGAAAAAGAAGGTATACTTCCCAACACATTCTATGAAGCAAATATCACCCTGATACCCAAATCAGGAAAGGATCCAACAAACAAAGAAAATTAGAGACCAATATCATTAATGAATATTGATGCAAAAATATTTAATAAGATCTTAGCAAACAGGATTCAACAACACATCAAAAAAATTATACACCATGATCAAGTTGGCTTTATTCCAGGGTTCCAGGGCTGGTTCAACATATGCAAATCTATAAATATAATACATCACATCAATAAAAGAAAAAACAAAGACCATATGATTCTCTCAACTGATGCAGAAAAAGCCTTTGATAATATCCAGCATCCTTTCATGATCAGAATTCTTAAGAAAATAGGCATAGAAGGGACATTTGTTAAACTGATAGAGGCCATTTACAGCAAACCCACAGCCAATATCATATTGAATGGTATAAAATTGAAAACATTTCCACTCAGATCAGGAACAAGGCAAGGATGCCTACTGTCTCCACTGCTCTTTAACATAGTTTATATCTTTTGAGTTATTTGACTTTCTTCTTTGTATCTTTGATAGTCTATTTTTATAATAATCAATAAATCTTTATTTTTTCTTATAATAGTAATATATGCTATTTGGCTTAAAAAACAAATACAACCAAAGTAAATATAAACTAGTCATACATCCTAATTACACCACTATTTTGTTTCATGTGTATTTTTCCACATTTTTCTAAGAACAGGAAACTTATCCCTTATCACACACTTAAAATGGAAATGCTCCATCCAGGTAAACATAAAAGATGTGACGTCTCCATCTTTTTAGTGGTTGCTTAGTATTCCATGGTGTACATATACCACAATGTGTTAATCCATTCATGGGTCAATGGGCACTTAGGCTGTCTCCATGTCTTGGCTATTATGAATTGGGCTACAGTAATCTTATAATTAGATTGATAGCATCATTTTGAAAAACCAAATCAATTAGAAAACTACTAGAAGGCATAAAATATCATAAAAGGAATATAGATGGTGAAAACACATGATGTGAAGAATATACCAAAAGGGTATTTAAAAGACTATTCAAATTATAAGTAAATCCTATTGGCTAAAATAATATATTTTTACATATTTAGGGGAAAGATAAATTAGCTGAAAGGTTATCTCTTAAAGAGGATTAGTGAATCTGAGAGTCAGAGGCATTAAAAGGGAGGGGATTTTAGACAGCTTTGGACCTTCCATCTGTATTCCACAGACGTTCCTAGATGCCCTAACCAGGTCTTCTTCAGGACAGAGAGATGCCCTAACCAGAGGTGCCCTAACCTGGCCTTGTTTTTTTCTTTTCTTTTTTTTTT